CTGTCTTTCTTTCCTTCTTTATGATTCATTCATTTCCCCACATTTCATTTTCCTTCTTCTTCTTCTTCTTTTGATATTCATACACTTAAAAGTATTTAAAGAGTTTACGAAAATCCTTTGTAATACCGAAATATACGAAGAACAGTTATATATGACGGTATATAACAAGAAATACAAACATCTATCAAAAAGATACAAAAAAAAAACAATAGCTAGGATATCCAAATTAGGAAAAGCAAATGATATATGACCCAATCAGCTCCACCGGCTAATCAAGTTGCCATCTAATGCGTCTGTGCATTTGTTCAGATACCGTTAGATGTCTTATAGTAAAGAGGATGTTGATGCTGTGGACACTATGCCTCGTCTGTGATCGAAGGCAGTAGGTGCATTTCATTTATTATTAGTGTGGTCTTGGGAGGCTGTTGTCACTTGACTTGACAGTCCCTGCCCACGCCTCATTGTTCTCTAAGTGGTAATGGAGTCGGCCATTATACAAAGTCGCTGGTGGGAGGTTCGAACTGTCAACAAACACTGTATATTATGTGGGAGACACGGAGGTATTAATGGTGCGTTTGGGTCATTCTTGTTTGATTTTCAGTTATTTCTTTAGTTGTCAAGAAAAATAATATATATAAAATTGGAAAAACAAAAGCAAAATTGAGAAACAAAAAATAAATTCACAATTTTTCTGTGAAAAAAGTTACGCTAGCAGTTATTTTTTTAAATACCTATTATTCACTGTCAGTATCTACATATCGACAACTAGTCATTTCATCTTTCAGTAACCAATTATTGACATTTTCGCGACAGAAATTGGAAACGGTTGACGCGTGAAAAAGAGAGAGAGAGAGAGTGAGAGAGAGAGAGAGGGAGAGAGAGAGAGAGAGAGAGAGAGAGAGAGAGAGAGAGAGAGAGGGGGGGGGGGGGGGGGGAGAGAGAGAGAGAGAGTGAGAGAGAGAGAGAGAGAGAGAGAGAGAGAGAGAGAGAGAGAGAGAGAGAGAGAGAGAGAGAGAAAGAGAGAGAGAGAGGGGGGGGGGGGGGGGGGGAGAGAGAGAGAAAGAGAGAGAGAGTGAGAGAGAGAGAGAGAGAGAGAGAGAGAGAGAGAGAGAGAGAGTGAGAGAGAGAGAGAGAGAGAGAGAGAGAGAGAGAGAGAGAGAGAGAAAGAGAGAGAGAGAGAGAGGGGGGGGGGGAGAGAGAGAGAAAGAGAGAGAGAGTGAGAGAGAGAGAGAGAGAGAGAGAGAGAGAGAGAGAGAGAGAGAGAGAGAGAGAGAGAGAGAGAGGTGGGGAGGAGAGAGAAAGAACGGGAAAGAGAAAGATTTTGTTTTTCTATTGCATAGTTTATTGTACTCCGAAATATAATTCATTCAGGTTTATCTATTGCTTTCAAATGTATGACTTCTGAACGTAATAAAATCATAAACAATATATTTCTATTGGTTTAGGGGAACCAAAGCAAGATTTTAATTCCAATTTTTCTTTACAAGTATATAAATTCTATACTAGTAAGAATAATAAACAGTCTTTAATCCAAGAAATCGGTTACATATAATTATAGAATTGCATATAATTATATACATATTGAAAATCCTTTACATCAGTACAATTGCGTATTATAGGACGATACATAAAATCAGTATTTTGTATTTCACAGGATTTTTTTTTTTTTTTATGAATATTATATCGTGGATCCAATGTCGCAGAGACTTTTTAGAAGGAAAAGTGATTGATTAGTCAGCAGAACAGACATCCGAACCGGTGTCTTGGGCTTCAAAGAAAAGTTAATCTCATAAATGGATGTGTATTTTTTTCTGTGTTTTACTACCAGAGGATTTAATGTTTAAATTCATAAAGATACTTTATACTTTCAGAGAAGGAGAAGGATTGATTAAATTAAGTATATATGTGAGTTTGATATCATATTCAGACTTACTGTGTACATTTCGAAGAACTGAATACTGATGATACTGATGCTAAGCTATATTTGTTAAGGTTATTAGGTGTTCATCTTTATCACAGGACGATAATGTTATCCTAAGTGCTAATATTCCTCAGAATGGCGGAAAGACCGGTGTCTACATTTAGGCTTTTATCACCATCATAATTGCTGTATTGTAGTTCCGGATTGGTCGTTTCCCCGGCTGTTAAGTAGGAATGGTGTTCGCCTGATATTCCCAACATCACATCAGTATCCCTGTGCGAGTGGAAAGACGATCAGCTTCTCGGATTTATTTCTGTCGCTTTGATTTCCACCGCTCTTCACCATTCTCCTTGCGCAATCTCAATCTGTTTGAAGTTAACTTGCAATCATAACTCTTGCTAGGCTTTGCATATCATATGGTCTCGACCTATCCCATCTTCTCTATATGTTTTTCCTGAATTTATCGTCATTCCTTCATATCGTCTGCAAAACATAGTCTTCAAACTCTTTTCCGTTTTATACTGTTGATCGTCATTTGTTTTTTTCTAACATCTTCGAAATTAACCTAAGGTATTTCATAGTTTACCAGATTGTTAGGATTACGATCTTGTAAAAGTTCGTTCAAGCTTCTTGTTAAACTTTGCCTTTTTTTAACTTTTGATTGCATAGGTCCTGTTAATTTAGAGTTTGAAAGATATAAAGTGTTTATTCTTTAAACTACTTTACTCTGTTGCCTAAGATCTCAAAGTTTCCCAGGTCATCTAAAGGCTAAATGCTTGCTTAATTTTGTTGAAGTTTGCCTTATAACAATCATGGTGATAAGAGTAACACTGGTGATGATATTGGCAATGCTTATCATTATCAGTGTTAGTATCATTATTATTATTATTATTATTATTATCATTATTATTACTATTACTATTGTTATTATTATCATCATTATTATTATTATTATTATTATTATTATTATTATTACTATTATTATTATTATTATTATTATCATTATTATTGTTATTATTATTATTGTTATCATTATTATTATTATTGTTGTTGTTGTTTTTGTTGTTTTTGTATACGAATTTGGGGTCTTTAACGATGACGTAATAATCATGGACTCATAACTCGATTAATCAAAATATATGAATAAAAAAATAGATGAATAAGGATAAGAAATAGATATATATATATATCAATTTTTTTATTACAAACTATTTGAATGGCAAAACTTATTACTGTCATGCCATTCATTTTCTCGTAGAATTTAATTTTGTCAGTTATTGCCTGCGTCCAAACTGAAATATAGAATCCCAAAAATAAGATTATACTGATTGTTTATGACTTGATAAAATTCTAACGCGTTCTAAAAGATATATTATTGAAGAAGAAGAAAAAAAATATATAAGCTACACTAATATCACCTCTCCCTCTTTTTTCTTTCACCCCCAAACATGCTTCATTATATGCCTTTTTATTACATCCCCCCCCCCTTACCTTTCCCCTTGAGGGCATGATGTGATTTTCCTCTCTCTCTCTCTCTCTTTCTCTCTCTCTCTCTCTCTCTCTCTCTCTCTCGCTCGCTCGCTCGCTTGCTCTCTCTCGCTCTCTCTCTCTCTCTCTCTCACACACACACACACACACACACACACACACACACACACACACACACACACACACACACACACACACACACACACACAAACACACACACACACTCTCACACACACACACACACACACACACACACACACACACACACACACACACGCACACGCGCGCGCGCGCGCACATACACACACACTCGCCCTTTTTCTCTCTTCCCGTCTCTCTCTCTCCCCTCATTCTCTCCCTCTCCCTCTGCTCTGTATTCCCTTTGCCGGCAAGCTGATTGTGTGAGAGAGCCTGGGGCCACCATTGCTAGCTCCATCTTTTTCCGTCATCCATTACAAAAAAATAAAAATAAAGGAAAAAAATATATTTGTCGCATCTCGAGCCTCTTCTGTTTCTGTGTGATGTCCGCGGTCTCTTGTTTTTTTTTTGTTTTGTTTTTTTGTTTGGTTTTGTTTTATTCTCCTCGTTTTTTCTTTTATTCATATAGTTGTTGATGTAATAACTTGTTCTATATTTCGTCTCTTTCTATTTTTCTTCTCTCTCTCTGGGAAGATTTTGTTTATATTTTAATCAGTCGCACAAACGAACAATATGTCAGTTGTATTTACATATAGATTTACTGTTTTACATATCCCACACGTACTTATACATTTTTTTGTCATTAATCCTAGCAACTGATGCACCTAACTAAACCTTCCTAAACCTGATCCTCAAACTAAACCTTCCTAAGCGTTGCCATTTCTCCAGTAGGTAATACTCAAACTAAAACCTTTCGTTCCTACAGCAGGTGAACCTCAAAGTAAAACCTATTTCGTTCCTCCTATAAGTAATCCTTCAAGCCAAACCTTCGCTAAACCTCTGTCATTCTTCCAGCAACTAATCCTCAAACCCTTCCTTCACTCCTCCTTCAAGTTGATCCTCGAACTAAAACCTATTTCGTTCCTCCGACAGGTCATCCTCAAACCCTCCTTCACTCCTCCTTCACTTGATCCTCAAACTAAAACCTCTTTCGTTCCTCCAGCAACTAATCCTCAAACCCACCTTCACTCCTCCTTCAAGTTGATCCTCGAACTAAAACCTATTTCGTTCCTCCAGCAACTAATCCTCAAACCCACCTTCACTCCTCCTTCAAGTTGATCCTCGAACTAAAACCTATTTCGTTCCTCCGACAGGTCATCCTCAATCCCTCCTTCACTCCTCCTTCAAGTTAATCCTCAAACTAAAACCAATTTCCTTCCTCCAGCAACTAATCCTCAAACCCTTCCTTCACTCCTCCTTCAAGTTAACCCTCGAACTAAAACCTATTTCGTTCCTCCGACAGGTCATCCTCAAACCCTTCCTTCACTCCTCCTTCAAGTTGATCCTCGAACTAAAACCTATTTCATTCCTCCAGCAACTAATCCTCAAACCCTTCCTTCACTCCTCCTTCAAGTTAATCCTCAAACTAAAACCTATTTCGTTCCTCCGACAGGTCATCCTCATAGCCGTATTCGCCGGGTTCCTGTCCATCGCGACTCTGCTGGGCAACTTGATGGTAATGATTAGCTTCAAGATTGACAAACAGCTTCAGACCATTAGTAACTACTTCCTATTCTCGCTGGCCGTGGCGGATATCACTATAGGGTGAGTGACCTGCTGGGTTGGGGGTGGGGGGAAGAGGGGTAGTAGGGAGGGGAAGGGGGGTAGGGAGGGAGAGGGAAGGGGAAGGGGGGTAGGGAGAGAGAGGGAAAGGGGGGTAGGGAGAGAGAGGGAGGGGGAAGGGGGGTAGGGAGAGAGAGGGAAGGGGGGTAGGGAGAGAGAGGGAGGGGGAAGGGGGGTAGGGAGAGAGAGGGAAGGGGGGTAGGGAGAGAGAGGGAAGGGGGGTAGGGAGAGAGAGGGAGGGGGAAAAGGGGTAGGGAGAGAGAGGGAGGGGGAAAAGGGGTAGGGAGGGAGAGGGGGAAAAGGGGTAGGGAGGGGAAGGGGATAAGGGAGAGAGAGGGATGGGGAAAGGGGGTAGGGAGGGAGAGGGAAGGGGGGTAGGGAGAGAGAGGGAGGGGGAAAAGGGGTAGGGAGGGAGTAGAGGGAAAAGGGAGAGAGAGGGAGAGGGGATAAAGGAGAGAGAGGGAGGGGGAAGGGGGGTAGGGAGTGAGAGGAGGGAAAAGGGGTAGGGAGGGGAAGGGGATAAAGGAGAGAGGGAGGGGGAAGGGGATATGTAGGAGGATCAGGGAAGGGGGAAGGGAGAAGGGGGAAGGGGAAATGTAGGAGAATAAGGGAGGAGGGAAGGGAGAAGGGGAAAGGGGAGATATAGGGGGATAAATGAAGAAGGAGGGATAGGGAGAGAGTGATTGGGGAGAAAGGGGGGCTGTAGGGGTTAAGGGAAGGGGATGAGGAGGGAGGGCGGGAGGGGAATAGGGGAAAAGAGATGGCGGAGGGGAATGAGAGAGGAGAGGGATAGGGAGGAAGTTAAGAGGATAAGGGTTGGGGGGGGGGAGGGGTTAGAGGATGGTGGAGGGGAGAGGGGAGAAGGGGGGAGGGGTTAGAGGATGGTGGAGGGGAGAGGGGAGAGGGGGGGGAGGGGTTAGAGGATGGTGGAGGGGAGAGGGGAGAGGGGGGGAGGGGTTAGAGGATGGTGGAGGGGAGAGGGGGGGGTTATAGGACCAAAGGATGGGGGAGGTGAGATAAGGATTGGAGAATGAGTGAGGGAGTATGAGGGAGTATAAGGATGAGGTGTTAGGTGGATGGTCGTGGGTATGAGGGGAGAAAAGAAAGATTATTAATGAGGAGAAATGAGGGTTCTTAAGGAGGGGAATGTAGGGTCTTAATGAGGGGAAAAAAGAGGGTTCTTAAGGAAAGCAAAGGAGGTTGTTAATGTCAAGAAAAAAGGGGGAAAAGACGATTGTTAATAAGGAGAAACAAGGATTTTAAAAGAAGGGAAGAGAGGGGTTGATGATGAGGGGAAATCCAAGACGGTCAATGAGGCAGAGAGGGGAAGGAGGGGTCAGGGTGAAGGAGGAGGGGTCGCGGCTGGAGTGTGTGGGTGTGGGGAAGCTGAGGGCAACGGAAAGTGGAGATGGAGGGCAAGACTAAAGGAGATGAAAGAGGGAAGGAAGACAGGGTGTGAATGAATGCGTAAACTATAGACTGTCCATTCATAGCTACTGGTGAATATACGGTATGGATATATCAATATGTGTATGTATGTTTACGTAAAGTGCATAATTGTATGTGTACTGTCTTACTGGTTTAGGCACATAAAAAATATTCACATACAATTATAAATGTGTACACAGTGAATATATGTATGTGCGTCTGTGGGAGGATTTCTATGTGTACCAGTGAATTTAAACGCTTGTGTGCATATAAGAGTGATTTATACATATACGACTGTGTACGTATATATATGTATGATTGCACAATTCTAAAACAAAATTATGTATGAATTGAGCTGTGCACATTATCTTAATCAGTTTGAAGTGTGCAAGCGAGCAGGATGTTTGATGGTTGTGCCTAGCAGGGGTTTAATGAATAGAGAGAGGCAGTAAAGGGGAACTGATTACTAAAAGGGTTTTAAAGGGAAGGAAAAAAAGGGAGTAGGAGAGGGAACCTGAGTGATGTTAGATGATTACTGTAAACTATTTAGAATACTTAGTACGGCGAGGGGACTGGACTAGGGTTTATTCAAGCGTGGGAGCTGAATATTGGAAAAGAGTTTCAACAAAAGGGTTTTCAGAATTTGTTGTCGTAGTGTAGAATGGCTGATTCCCTTTCGTTACTTTTTTTTTGAGAATTATAGCTGTTATTTATTATGTATTGGTATATTTTAGGGACTCGTGGAATATCCCCATCCACAAACAAACAAATATATGTGGTTTTGTTTATAGACTGATGGACAGAGAAAGAAATATAGATTTAGGTATAGATAGACAGATATACAGATATGAATTTAGAAGTCTACTGTACTACGCACATATATATATGTGTGTGTGTATATATATGTGTGTGTATATATACATATGTGTGTGTGTGTGTGTGTGTGTGTGTGTGTGTGTGTGTGTGTGTATGTATATAGTGATATCTATAAATCAATATATACACCCAAACACAGACAACTAACAAACACCGTCGATACACACAAACACGTAAAAAAAAGAACGATAACAACTGCAACAAGGAAAGAAAACCTGAATCATCTTTCCGCCTCAACCTCTCCCCTTGTAATGATAATGGTCCTTCTCCCCCTCGCTTTCTACAGCATGGTTTCGATGCCTTTGTTTACCCTGTACACGCTGCTGGGTTACTGGCCTCTTGGACCGCTCATCTGCGACACCTGGCTTGCCCTCGACTACCTGGCTTCTAATGCATCGGTTCTCAACTTGCTTATCATATCCTTCGATAGATATTTCAGGTGAGTGAGATGTTGGGGTTGTTTGGTGTTGGTAAGATTCGGGTTGGGTTTGGGGGGGTGGGGGGTTGGTTTCAGGTACAGGTTTGTTTGTTTGTTCGTTGTTGTTGTTGTCTTTTGTTGTTTTCTTTTCTCTTTGTCTTTCTCTTTCTCTTTTTTCTTTATCTTTCTCTTTTTTCTTTATCTTTATCTTTATTTCTCTCTCTTTCTCTCTCTCGCACGCGCGCTCTTTTCTCTTTCTCATTCTCTTTCTCTTTCTCTCTCTCGTTCTCTTTCTATTTCTCTTTCTCTTTCTCTTTCTCTCTCTTTTTCTCTTTCTATTCCTCTTTCTCTTTCTCTCTCTCTCTGTTTTTTCTTTTTTTTACCGCTTATCAGGTGCTTTGTAAGAAGGTGAGTCTATGTTTGACTTCCTTGTTGTTTTGTTTCTTTTCTTTTTTATTTTTTATTTTTTTTATTTTCTTTTTTTTTGAAGAAGAGATTGGTAAGTATAGAGGACCTAAATCGACAGTATGTTTACTTGTTTGTTCATATATGTGTATCGTACATGTGTGTGTGTGTGTGTGTGTGTGTGTGTGTGTGTGTGTGTGTGTGTGTGTGTGTGTGTGTGTGTATGTATGGATGTATATAAGTGTGTCCGCGTGTGTTTGTATCCGCATCTCATTCCCAAACATATTTTCCCAAACGTCATTACGACTTAGGGAATCGAGCACAACCGAAGCCCCCACGAAGCTCCACATACAGGAAAGAACGAGGCAGCGCTTCTCTTTCCTTCCCTCATTAAGTGGAAGCTTCTAGAAGGGCCAGGAAGCGCCTCCCCTTACCCCAATACCTCGGCCCGGCGAACACCCGCTTCTTACCCCTTCCCCCCCACCCCCCCTACCCCATGCCTTCTTACTCCCCTGCCGGCGTGCCCTTCCTCTCTACCACTCCTGCCTCCCTACCCCCTATCCCCCTCCCCTCCTTTGCTTTCCTCTCGCCGGGAAATTCCCCTCGGTGAGACACGACCCCCTCCCCACACTCCCCTCCTCCTTCCCTCCTTCCCTCCCTCCTCCTCCTCCTCCTCCTCCTCCTCCTCCTCCTCCTCCTCCTCCTCCTCCTCCTCCTCCTCCTCCTCCTCCTCCTCCTGCTCCTCCTCCTCCTCCTCCTCCCCCGACCCTCGAGTGACTGATCTTCTGTTGACCTCGCTTCAGGATCTCCTTCAGTCTCCCCTCTCTCGCCCATCCATCCGCGCGGGTCTTCTCTCCTTGTCTCTCGCTCTCTCCTGCTCCTACTTCATTTCTTCTGTGGTTTCTCTGTGATTTTCTGTTGTTGTTTTTCTTCTTTTTTTGGGGTGGGGTTTTGTTTTGTTTTTCTTTTTGTTTTTTCTGTTGTTTTTTTCGTTTTGTTTTGTTTTGTGTTTCTTTTGTGTGGTTCGTTTTTTTCTGTTTGTCTCTTCTTTTCTGTTCTTTCTGTTAATGTTTTTTATTTGCTTTTTGTATTTTCCTCTTTATCTCTCTTTTTATTGTTTTCTCCTCTTATTCTCCTTGTTTCTTATCTCTTGTATTTTATGATTATGTCATCCTTCTATGTTTCCATTTCCACTCTCTCTTTCCCTCTCTTTCTCTTTTTCTCTCGCTATGTACGTGTGTGTGTGTTGTGTGTGTGTGCCGCCTGTGTGTGTGTGTGTGTGTGTACGTGTGCGCTTATTTCTCTTTCTCTGTCTCCATTTTCCTCAATAACTCCTTTTCTCCCTTCGTTCCTCCTTTCACTTATTCATCTCTGCCCACGCTGTGTTCTGATTTCCTCGGTCTAATATATAACAATTATTTCCCAGAATTTCCTTGCTGTGTCAGTCTTAATGTTGCCTCACTTCTTCACAATTTTTTTTTTTTCCTATCGTCTGTTTTCTTTTTTTTCTTTTCCTATTTCTTTTTTTCCCGTTTCCTTTGTTTGTTTGTTTTTCTTATGCCCTACTTCTTTGTTCTTTTTTTTTTTTGGCCTTCTCCTCATTCTCCTCCAATTTATATTTTTCATCCTCTTTCTCCTCTTCTCTCTCTTTCTGCTCTTTCTCCTTCTTTTCTTCATGTCTTTACTCCTCCTCCTCCTTCTCTTCCTCTTTGTCCTCTTCCTCATTATCCTTTTCTCCTCCTCCTCCTCCTCCTCTCTTTCCACCTCCTGCTCCTCTTCCTCCTGCTCCTCCTCCTCCCCTCCTCCTCCTCCTCTTCCTCTTCTTCTTCCCCCTCCTCTTCCTCCACCTCCTCCTCCTCCTCCTCCTCCTCCTCCTCCTCCTCCTCCTCCTCCTCCTCCTCCTCCTCTTCCTCTCTTCCTCTCTCCCCATCTCCTCCTCCTGCTGCTGCTCCTCCTCCTCCTCCTCCTCCTCCTCCTCCTCCTCCTCCTCCTCCTCCTCCTCCTCCTCCTCCTCCTCCTCCTCCTCCTCCTCTTCCTCTCTTCCTCTCTCCCCATCTCCTCCTCCTGCTGCTGCTCCTCCTCCTCCTCCTCCTCCTCCTCCTCCTCCTCCTCCTCCTCCTCCTCCTCCTCCTCCTCCTCCTCCTCCTCCTCTTCCTCTCTTCCCATCTCCTCCTCCTCGTCCCTTTCCTCTTTCGGTTTTCTTCCTCTTCCCTCTTATTCTACCTTCGTTATTTCCTCATTCCCCTCCAGTAATTTTAGACTTTCCATTATCTTCTATTTTCTTTCCCCATTTCCCCAATCCTCCTTCTTAATGCGGCTTTTCCTTATTCTTTCTCTTGTTATCCACTTCTTCGAGATTTGATATTTCCCCTTTGTTCTGCATTTATCTTACCTCGTTCACTTCCCTTTTCTTGCCTTTTTTTTCTCTTTCTCTCTCTCTGTTCTTCCCTTCTTCGTTTGCTTTTATTTATATCATCTATAACATTTATTATCGTTGTTATCTTTATGGCATTATCATTATTGTTATCATTTATCGTTATTATTATTTTTTATTATTGTTGTTGTTGTTGTTGTTGTTGTTGTTATTTCTATTATCATTATCATCCTCACTGTTATCATCATTATTCCTGTTATATTCATTATTATTATTATTATTATTTTTCTGGTTGTTATTATCATCTTATTTCTTCTGCCATTCGTCGCTTCTCTCTCCTACCCTTTCCTTCTTGTTTAGTTTTTTATCATAATTATATCCTATTTTCCTTTGCATATCAACTTTATCATATTCGTTCTTTCTCATGAAAATGAAATGATACAATTCATTAATGATGCCTAGTTTATCAAAAATACGATATCTACGACCTTTTTTGATCATTCATACAATAGCATAAACCGTATTCATGTTGACAAATGTATGAAATATATGAATGAGAATGAATGTCTTTACAATACACGATATATTTCTGACAAAGATATAATCGAAACATTTTTTTATACAGTAGCATAAATCATTCTCGTAACCGCTATACTATTCACTCGTACCATAGTAGTGGGGACTGGTCCTTTATCATTTCAGGAGAAAAAAATATGAATTTTGTTTAGTTTTTTTTAAGCACCAGTGCATTTGAATTGGTTTATTGATTGGTTCTTTAACTATATGCAAATCTGTCGAAACAAAAGAGAGAAAAAAACAGTCTATGTAAATCTTGTAAAAAGTTTAAGTACATGAATTATTTTTTTAACAACTCTCCCTGTTATATAAACAACGTAGACAGATGCTATGTTTATTTATGTTAATGCCTGACGAAAGCGTAGACGTGCCCTGATTTAGTAATTTTAAGTGAACTTTTATAACCATAATATATCACAGACTCACAATTTATCAAGGTGTTCATAATTAATGATAATAATGATGATGACAGTATTGACAGTCATAATTTTAACAATGATGATTCTAATTATAACAATATTTCTAATGATATCTTGGTTATGATCATAGTTGTGATTGTGTTTATTACTACAATAATAACAAGAGCAGAAAGGAAAATAAAGAAAAGGCTTATAATGATTTTTTGTTTTGTTTTGTTTTGTTTTTGGTTTCGTATGTCAACGCTTTATTCTGTATTTCCAATTCCCGCATTCGTTCTGTTCTAATTTATTCATCTACTTGTATAATCATCTACATTTTTTTTTCTTTATTTACGTATCCGGTCATTCCTTCATTCATTTGTGTGTTTGTTTGTTTGTTTATTGTTTTCTTGCTCTGCCATATTTATATTCTCAATTTATTTATTTCGCTCATTTGCATTTTTTTTTTGTGTGTGTGTGTGTGTGTAATTTACTCCACTTTCTCTTCTCCATTACTTCCCTTCCTCCTCTTTCTCCTCCTCTTTCACCCCACACCCCTCTTCCTCCTTTCCCCCTCCCACTCCTTCTCTTCCTCCTCCTCCTTTCTCCTTCCCCACGAAGAAGGAAGAATAGGATGACGAGGAGAAAATAGTAGGAGAAATAAGTAAGAGAGAGAGAGAGAGAGAGAGAGAGAGAGAGAGAGAGAGAGAGAGAGAGAGAGAGAGAGAGAGAGAGAGAGAGAGAGAGAGAGAGAGAGAGAGAGAAAGAGAGAGAGAGAGACTGATAGACAGAAAGACCGACAAATAAGGAGGAAGATGAAATTAGAGAAAATAAGAAAAGAAGAACTAAAAAAAGGTGCAAAGCTAATGTCAAAGATTGTGAAAATCGGCGAAAAAAAAGGAAGAGGAGGAAGAGAAAAAAGAAGAAGAAGGAGGGGGAGGAGGAAGAGACATAGAAAATACAAGATGAAAAAGAGCAAAAGAACATCCTCCCCCCCAAGAAAATGGAGAAGAAAAGGACAAGAAAAAAACGAAACCAAAGTAAAAACACAAGAACAAGAAAAAACAAAAGGAGATAAAAAGAAGCAAAAGAATTACGAAAAAACGAAGCCGAAGAAGAAGAAGAAATACGAAAAATGAAGAATAAATACGAAATGCGAAGAAGAAACACGATGGGAGAAAAAGAAAAACATGAAAAAAAACGAAATATAGAAAGAAAATATAGAAGAAATACGAAAAAAACGAAGAGGAAGAAGAAGAAATACGAAA